CAGATCCACCCTGAACTAGGAAACTCGGGAAAGCCAAAGGTGGAAAGGCGTATTGGCTTTGGGGAAAAAGAGGCGGCTTGAAAAGACCAGCCCCCCGTTTTCGGTGCTCCTCCAAGTGGTTTCGGATGCCCAGCTCCTCACCTCGATTCGCATCGGCGAATCGGCGCCCGGACCACGTGCCGAAAACACGAGAAAAAGAAGAGGCCCGCTTTCAGGTTCCGTGCTTGCTCTTTTGGGGAGGGTAGTTTCACATGTACTTGGGTGAATGACGGAAATGTTGGACACATACGGTAACGTGTGTATATATATATATATATATTATATATAGACTACGTATATATATATATGTATTTCTACAGCAAATATACATGTATATATATATATGCATACATAATATATATATATATACGCACATACACTTGGGAAACATCCCGGGTGAATTCAGTCGGCTCGGGCGAAACATGCTCAACGCCCAATCTTCTGCTGAGAACGAGGGCACTGCAACAAATTTGGGGCTCTGGCTGGCAGAAGTTGCCTATGAGTTAGCAGTAGTGGGATAGGAAAGGTGGACTTCTGCATTAAAGCTTTGTTTTGGAGGAGCGCAACCACTGTTGGCGTGAGTCACTCTCGCCCTTTCGTTTCATTCAGAGAGCTCCTCTTGCTACCATTGCATGGTTTGGGGCAGGGCGTGCTGCACGAGATTTCAAAAGCAAATGACAACAGGGTTCCTACCGCTGTGCATTCCATCCTAGAACGCTGGCACATGCCATAAAGTTAATGTTGCGAAAGCAAACTCACCTTGCAAGGCAGAGCAAAGGGGATGATGCTGATGGTGACAATGATGAATGATGAAGATGAATGATGAAGATGAAGATGAAGATGAAGATGAAGATGATGAAGATGAAGATGATGATGATGATGATGATGATGATGATGATGATGATGATGATGATGATGATGATGATGATGATGATGATGATGATGATGGCAGTTTAGCATTGGTTGGTTTTGCTTGTAGGTCTGTTGGTTTGGACCAGCCGTAATCACTTTCCTACTAGTCTAGTTTGTTGCCCGGACCCCATGAACTCGAATTTCGAACTGTGGAGCGGAACAACTACCGTGAAAGGTTCTTACGACAGCATTTGATTGCGAAGAGATTTGCAATTTTGAAAATCGCTATGCTTGGCAAAAGGTGAGTCACATTTGGTCAAGGGCCAAAATGGACAGCTCTTGAAATTCCTAGGGCCTCATACCTAACATGAAAATCCTTGGGGAGAGCTTTCATCGCTGTATTTACTGGGCGGAGGCAAGTTAAGTCTAGGTTGACCAGCACGCAATGTGGTTCTTGTTCAAACCAACGGGCTTGTGGGACGTCCTTTGTGACCCAGGGATGCCTGCTTGAGGATTGAAATCCACAACGTTGGGATTCCCTAGTTAAGACCAAAGGAAGCTAGAAGGAACCGAAAACTAGTTCAAGGTAGTTTCGCGAGAAAGCTGCCTCGGTCACGACGCCTGACGCAACGGGTGCCGCACGGGTGCGGACGGTCTCGGAACAAATTCGGACCTGGGCCCATTGGCACGGACGCAATGTCAGTTTGGTGTGTGGCAGGCGCAGCACGTTTGTAGACTCAGGCGCAGATTGCGTGGCTGCACTTTTGCAAGGTGCGGTGCAGATGTCGTTCTAGGCGCTGCACATAGATTGATAGAATACGCAAGATAGATAGGAAAGGTAGAAAGATAGAAAGACAGACAGACAGACAGAGAGATAGATGGATAGATGGATGGAATATATGCATAGATGCATATGCATAGATGGATACATGGATACATGGATAGATGGACAAATGGACAAACGGACAAAGGGACAAATGGACAAATGGACAAATGGACAGATGGGATGGAGGGATGGAGGGATGGAGGGATGGAGGGATGGAGGGATGGAGGGATGGAGGCATGGAGGCATGGAGGGATGGATCGGTGGAGGGATGGAGGGATGGAGGGATGGAGGGATGGAGGGATGGAGGGATGGAGGGATGGAGGGATGGAGGGGATGGATGGATGGATGGATGGATGGATGGATGGATGGATGGCTGGCCGGCTGGCCGGCTGGATGGATGGATGATGGATGGGCGGACGGACGGACGGATGAATGGATAGATAGACAGATGGATAGATTAATTGATAGATAGATAGATAGATGGATGGATGGATAGATAGGTAGAATGATGGCCAGCTAGATAGATAGCTAGATGGATGGGTAGACAAATAGGTGTTGGACATCTTGATAGACTAGATTAGACTAGCCTGGCTAGATCGCGATGCAGGTGGTTAGGTAGGTAGAACAAAAAATAGAAAGAAACAAAAGAGAGAAAGATATATGTTTGATCTACGCGAAGCATTTTCTCGACAGACATGCATTCAGGAAAGAACGAGCGGAGAAAGACCAAGAAAGAGACAGATTAAAGGAAATAAGAGAGAAAGAAAAGAAAGACAAAAACAAAGACAAACAGAAAGAGAAAGAAGAAAGAGACAGCTAATGAGAAAAAGACAGAGAGAGAAACACGAGAAAGGACAAGAGAGAAAGAAACAGAGAGAGAGAGAGAGAGAGAGAGAGAGAGAGAGAGAGAGAGAGAGAGAGAAAAAAAATCCAGACATGAGAAAGGGACATGTAATTGTAGCTCTCATGTGTTTGAAGCCTCCACCGGCTTCGCCGGCTCTACTGGTAAGTTTGGGCTTTCAGCTGAGGATTCGGCTCCGCACCTTGCCACGCTGCCACCTGCGGTGCTCAGCGTCCGCCTCTGCACAGAGAGCCTGCCAAAGGGAGCGGGAGTGGGAGCGCGCCGCCGAGTCCGCGATGCCAGAAAATTTCGGTAGCACCTTGGGGTCAGGTTCCAAATCCCCAAAGCAACACCAACCAAGTCAAGTGAACTCGACCTTCAACAAGTGGTCCCGCAAGTAGAGCTCGCAGGTCACGCGTTTTCCATGTAGCAGCGTCGCTGTGCGACGATTCGGCTTAAGGGGTCCCTAGGTGGGCCAGGGCCAAAATGGCGATCGTAGCCTCTCCATGAAACATGCTATACACGGCTGAGGCTTACACACTGACATGCCCCAAAGATCTCAGGCGAAGCTTGCCATTTTCTGGCCGCTCCGGAGAAACTCCGTCCAACTCACGTCGGGGCTCACGTCAGGTTCCTCTGGGGGTGCCACACCAGGGGACTTCTTATTCTTCTTCTTGGCGGCGATGAAGTCTGGGTCGTACTTCACCGTCCACAGCTGCTTGCGCTCGAGGAACCGTCTCAATCCCTCCTGAGCCTGGGACTTTGTCAACCCATCCGCAAGCTGGGCCTCCGATGAAACCCACAGCAAGGAAGTGTTCTGGCGTCTGAGGTTCTCGGCCGTCGCCATGAGCTCAAGCGCCGCATACTTCTCCTTCATGGAGTACCCTGCTGAAGCTGTGTCCTCCTTCCAGAAGGCGTCATAGACGGACTTCGCGTCGATGACCAGAGCCGCGTCCACTTTGATTGTCGCGTCCTCCGGCCGGCGCAAGTCCAGCTGGTAGCCTAGCAGTTCTGCCCAAAGCGCCCGGCAGAACATCAGCTCCTGCTCGCCTTCCGCCAGAGATTGAATCTCCGCCGACAAGCTGCTCTTCGCCACCCGATGCAACTTGCCACACTTCCAGGAAACCGGGTTCACGGGCACCCGCTTTCCATCCAGAATCGACCGATGTGCAAGGCCGACAAGGTGTCCTCCAGTTGAACCGAGGTCAGGTCGATTCCCGACTGCTGCATCCGTCCACGTCACCATGATGAGCTCCTCATCCGCCTCTGCTCCGAGTTGTTCAACTCCGATGCTGAGGCTTCGTTGTTGATATACTTCGCGACATAGTTTGTTGATCTCCTTCACAACGTCCAAGTTGCCCTTAGGCAAGGCACTCTGCAGCCAAGACAACTTCGCTGCATGCTGTAAGCCCGTCTGCTGGACTCTCCATTGCACCGCACCAAGCACAGCCCGGCACTGGCTCATGATGGAGTTGTTCATCTCCTTGTCGTTGGGGCCGAGCTCAACCTGCTTGAGCTCCTCGCAGTACTGCGTGTGGTCCAGGATGAAGCCATAGTCGTTCTTCTGCATGAGGTTAATGCCGCAGTGCGCGAAGGGCATCGCCTCCCAAGGCGACCAAGCGAAGGACTTGAAGAGGATGTCCAGGGCCGCAGTCCACTTTGCATTGGTCTCGTCGCCGGTGATCAGAAAATCATCGACGTGAGCGCCGATCGCACCAACCACCTTCCCGTTGTCCTTAAAGATCCACAGGCAGGGGTCACATTGCAAGCGGGTCAGGCCGGCCTTCTCCTGCATGACATCGCACACATCCAAGAACCATTCTCTTGGAGCCGAGGCAAGTCCGTAGGCAGCCTTGAGCAGGCGAACCGCCTGTCCCCGTGGCAATCCCATAGCTTCTGAAAGCTCTTCCACCGGGACGGCAAAGATGTTCCTCTTGGCCTGATTGGAGCTGCCCTGCAAAAAGGCGGACTTCGCGTCAGCCTTGAGGCAATCCCACCGCTTGTGCGTGGCCAAGTTCAAAAGCAACATTTTGCCCCGCCTCGAAAGAGTGGGGGCGGCAGTCACGAGCTCTGTGAGGTCAGGGTCGCTATAACCCAAGAGCACGATCCGGGCCTTTGCCTTCACATAGTCGGCGCTGTCCCCGGCCTTGAAGGTCAGCACCCAGCACATCCGCATCAAGCGATTGGCCGGGATCTGCACATCCGCCTTGGCACAAACCTTGCGAATGATCCACTGGTCGACCTCGAGCTGCTTGGCTTCTTTCATAGCTCTTCTCTGCTCCTCCGACAGCCTGCGCCATTCCACCTCCGCGCCCTTCTGGACGTTCTTGGCCGCGAACTTGGCTGGGTTCTTCACGATCTTCTTCCACTCCATCTCATTCGCGGGGGTCGGGATGGTGATGCCGAAGATGCCGTTCTCTGCCTCTTCCTCAGCGACGTACTGGACAGGACTCGAAGAGGAAGCTGCAGGCAGGCTCTTCCTCACATGAAGGGGAATCTCCTCTCCTTCATGGCTCATTCTCTTCTTCCGGAACTTCTCTCGTTCCTCCGGCGTATAGCGTTCCAGCGGGTTGTAGTTCAGGTCGGAGAGCAGCCGATCGATGTCAATCTCGTCCTCGGGTGATGCCGGAGTTTCCGACAGCTGGCGCTTGCGACTCTCCGGATCCTCGATGAGCTCGTCATCTTCCTGTGGTTCTGGCTTGAAAGGGATCTTGGGCTCGCTACTCCGGCGTTCCATTCGAAGTCGGCTCCGACTTCTCCCTCGCAGCTCAGATCTCTGCTTTAGCCCAAGTTTCAAGGATCCTTGGGTGAGGTCGTCAAACTCGCCCTTGTTGAGCTGGCTCACGAGCTGCGTGAAAGTCCACGGCATGCCAGCAACATCTGTGTTCTCCGCAATGAGGCGCTCGGTCTCTGATGCGTGTCGAAGCTGATTGCGGTGAACCTTCTTCAGTCTCCCCTGGGAGATGATCCAGATGGAGCTGCTCGCTGACCGATAAATTCCCTCTTCTCTCACGCGAGTTTCGGCCGCCAGAACCCGTCCAGGTCCAAACCATCGGCCAACACGCAGTCGAGGCACATCTACTTCATCATGCGCTGGTCGATCACGAGGGGTCTTGAACCGCTTGTAGTAGACGAGGTCTCCCTGCAAAAACTGATTCACCGGGGCTGCTCGCGAGTTGGTTGCCCGGCTCAACTTGGCCAGGTCTTGCTGCTTCTTGTACTGGGCTTCGGCTTCTCGGCGAAGGCGTAGTTGCACTTCCAGGGGATGACCAGGCAACTGCACATGCGAGGCTGAAGCTGGGTTGAGGTCCTCCTCCGGAAAACGGCCAAATGCCCACTGAGCTGGGGCATATCCTCCAACACGTGCTTGAGTGTTATGTGCACCGACCATCGCCCAAGCTGCTTCACGGACAGAACAGTCTCGGGCTTCCCGAAGAAAAACTTCCACCCGATGCCGAACTTCTCCAACTGCTCGTTCAACATCACCCGTCGAAGCATGGTACTCGGCCGGAACATGGGCAAGCTCTATCCCTCGCTCTGCACAGAAACGTTCCAAGTCTCTGCCTCTGAAACAACCTTCAAGGTCCAACCGGATCCGCTTGGGCATGCCGAAGTACTGGATCCAGCTCTTCTGAAGAGACTCCAACATCTCTGGCGTCGCCACGTTCTCGTGCTGGTCATCTGGGTGGGTCACGATCTCGTCGGTCACCACGTAGCCCGAAGCCTCGTCAAGGTAGAGAAGGAAGTGGTGCACCTCCGTGCCGATCCGCATGTAGAAGGTGTCAATCTGCACGGTGTGCCACAGGGTGTCTGCCTTCTCCAAGGAAACCTGGGTCATAGGCGTTGCCATGCGACCCTCCTGGCATTCCGGGCAGTTCAGCTGGTGAGCCACTGCTTGCATCTGCTCTGACGCTCCTCTGGATCTCAGGGCCCTGATGAGCGCCCTGTTGCCCGGGTGTCCACATTGACGGTGGAGCTTCAGGACCGTCTCCGCCAGCTTGTTGATCTCCTGGGAGGTGAGCCCGCCGAGGGCATTTGCCTGGGGCTCTGTCGAGCCGTAGGCCGCTGCATTTTGCTGCATCATCGCCTTGGCCGCCGTCCTGCAAAAGGAGGGAGTGTATCTCCCAGTCCTCTCCAGAAGTCCTCCTCCGAGACACGGCGCATGTTCATGGTCTCCAGGGCACAGACGATGTAGGCTCTTCAAGTGCGTCTCATCTGTGACCCGGATCCTCCACGGCTTCTTGATGGGCCAGCCTTTGTCCATGAGGCCAAACTGGCACCCGTCCACAAGCACATCATGGCATCGGTCTTGGGCTCTCAGCTCAGACCAGAACTTCTCGATGATGTCCCATTTCCAGGCGTAGTTCCCGCGAGGCCACTCTTGAGCAACTTCACCACCAAGTTCGAGCTGGTATCGCGCCACAATCAGCGCTCTCTTCACCATAGCCTTCGACTTCTTGCGGCGAAGATCCCCTTTTCTCTTGCCCTCCTCGGTGATCTCGTTGAGGTTCTGGATGGGAGAGCTTGGCCCGCAGGGAAGACTTATCCAGAGCCATCGGGGACGATGCTGCTTGATCATGTTGAGCACGTTCTGGAGGCCCTCATTCTTCATGAGGTCGCAGTTGTTGAACAAACCAGCTCGACCTCCACGACCACCAGCTCGTTGTACTTCTTGAAGTAGTAGGCTCTCCGGTCCACAGCAGAGCTCCAGCACGTCCCACGGTTCCGGTACGCCACCACAAACTTGAAAAGCCTCCTCGATGCGGTCCTGGGTATCCTTGACATTCTCCAGGAGATACAGCAGGTCCTCATCGGCCAACGGGAACTTCTCCACCGGCTGGTAGACACCGAGGTTGTCATACTCCAGGGTGTCCTCACCCTTCACGATGGCGAAGTCACCGTCCAGGAGCTTTCCGTCCGGGCGTCGTACTCCTGGTCTTCTGCCGAGACCTCGTTCTTTCTCATCTTCCTGCCTGGAGTCGTCTTGAGCTCCTCCGCATCGCTGGGCTGAGAAACACCCTCTTCTTTGATGTTCTCCTCGTGGTAGCCCTGCTTCGCGAGCGCCTTCGCCTTCTGAGCCTTGATCACCTCCAGGCGCTTCATCAAGCTTCTTTCCGCTCCCTCGAGACAGATCGCCTGGTTCTTGAGAAGAGGGTTGTGTGCCGCCTCGTTCCCAAGGGACTCCACCACCTCCTTTGTGTCGCTCGGCAACGGTCCGGCCTGGCGGGTCATGGCATGGGCTCCGAAGGCTGGGGTGTAGCTCAGCCTGAGTCTGCATACCGCACACGCCGTCCAAATGGCATGGGCGTTGGATCCCGAAACCGAACCCCGGCCGGGGCGTGCTTCCTGATGGTTGCCGTTGCATGGTGGCCCGGTCAGGCGAGGATCTCGAGGGTCTGGTCCCACTTGTCGTCCGTAGTCGAACTTCTCCCCCAGGGGACCAGTCGTTGGTTTGGTCTTGACTTTGGCCTTCGCTGCTCCCTTGCTCGCCGGGACGATCTCGGGTGTCTTGCCATTGAGGGGGTCCCTGGTCGTCTCCTTCTCGGATGCCATGGCGGGAGAGTAGCGAGGCTAGCGAATTGGACTGGGCGAGGATCGCTAAGAGATACCAACGCATCCCGTCAGCGGGGTCTTGGAGCCGAGCAGCCGGAGGCATAGAATGATCATCAATCACAAACACACACTCCTGTCTGTGATCACGGGCCAGAGACTTCGACGAAAAACTGGCCATGCCACTGCTTTCCGGCACACTCATGGAATCCCACCCCCGTCCCGGAGAGGCACGTCGGACAGGGGACCTGGAAACCTCCCTCAGTGGTGCACTTGGTGATAGGTGACGGGGAAGCTCCAATCTCTTGCCTGTGGTGAGCCAGTCCTCCTGCAGATTGATCAGGAGGTAGCCGCATCTGCTTTTCACCAACGGGATGGCGATGGCTGGATCCACCGCCTGCATGATGATAACTCCTTTGAAGACGTCTATGATGGCTTGCAACTTCCCGAGGGTCTTGATGCCGATCAGCACGGGGACGCCCGGCGCATCCAGGGTGTACATGCCAAGAGATAGGCGCCGGTCTCCAAGGTTCTGGGGTAGCAGGAGGTAGCTCTCGCTCTTCTGGATGGCCCCGTTGCCGAACTTGAAGGACTTCAACGGGGCGGGGACAACCTTGATCTCCTCTTTGACTCCCAGAACATGCCTACGGCCAAGAACAATGCGCTCCAGAGCCGTCAGGGAACCAACCGTCTCCGTGGCGCCGGTATCCAGCACTCCATATCCTTCCGACTCCGGGCTCTCCACCACCGCGATCATGATGGGGTCCGGAATCTTGGTACAGGATGTCCCCGGCGTCCAAGGTCGCCTCCAGGAAGACCATCATCTCGGTGAACTGAGCGAGTGCCACTCTGGGGGTCCACAAGGATGTAGGGATCCTCTGCAAAACCTGGGGCTTGGAAAACCTCTGCAGGGTCTAGGATGATCTCCGATTTTGTCATGCCGTTCAAGTCCGGGTTGAACCTGACGTCTCCATCGCCTCCCTCCTCCAACTCGATCTGCTCCTCGTGCAGCATGAAGATGCCCAGGTGGCTTTCCACGAAGTAGCTCCCAGATGACTTCCCCCCTTTGCCTTTTCCTCTCTTGGGGCAATGGCGAAAGTCATGCTGCTGGGAACCGCAAATGAAGCACCCGGTGTAACCCGGCTGACCCGGTTGCTGCACCGCAAGGACAGATCCAGCAGGAACGGAAGGGGTGGTTTCCATTGACAAAACCGAAGGTTGCCCCTTTCCTTTCTTACCTTTGAACTTCCCTTTTCCACCTCCCTTTGAGGGGTAGAATCCCCGGTTGGCTCCTTTGGCAGCCATGACTCTCCGAGCCTCCTGAAAGGTCCGGGCCTTTTGCTCGTAGGCCGCGTAGGCTTCCTGAACCTCCTTCAGCTGCTCGGGAGCCACCATCAACGAAGTCTGCTGCTGCGTCTCCCAGTCGGACCATGCCCAGTAGGTACCAGAGATGTCCTGGTGGTAGTACTCGCCGTCCCCGCCAGAGTCCCACCAGGAGTAGCCACCGTCTTCCTCTTGGTTCCAGAAGCCGTCTTCCATCACGCTCTCCAGGTTGTGCTCTTGCGTCTTGGTGGGGTAGTCTTGCATGGGGTTCTTGTTCACCCAGTGGACCTGGTTCAGGTCGACGAACTCCTCGACCTCCAGCTCCGTGCCCATGAAGATGCCCCACTCTCCATCTTCTTCAACCCAGAAAGAGCGCCCTTTTCCACCACCTTTTCCTTTACGGCCTCCGGATTGATCCGGATGGGTGAGCTCCTCCTCCACCGCTCTCAGACCGCGCTCAACATCGGCGCTGCGCAGGCTGTTGTGGATGGAAGCCAGCACATTCAGACGTTGTGCCGATGTCAGTGCAGCCCTCCTCAGCATGATCCATCCCACAAGCTCGTCGGGTAATGCAGGAGGTAGAGCGGTGTCCAAGGATTCCCAAACTTCTTGTCCATCTGATGCCGAAGAGGATGATGAGGATCTTCCTCTCCGGCGGTCTTTACCTTTTCCTTTGCTCCGCCCTTTTCCACGTCCTCGACCATGACCGCTTCCACCGCGGCTCAGATCTGATCGAGGATCTCCGCTTTCTTCATCAGGCTCATCTTCTCCATCTCCAAAGGCTTCCCGTGGATCGAGAGGCCATCCATCCCAGCCGTCCTCCCCGATCTCGCCCGTCTGATAGGGCTCCTCCTCGGTCCTTGCACGCGACCTCCTCGTCGTTGGCGATGAACTTGGCGATTGTTCAGCACGAGGAAGGTCCGGTTGTGCTCCAGGGGTCTTTGCTTCTTTGCTTAGCTGGGTGTGTTCTTGTCGAGCTCGCTGTAGTGCTCGCTGTAGACGGCGATGAGCTTCTCGCACATGTTGGCACCAAGAAGCCATTGACATCGTCGGGGGCCGTCTCAACCTCAGCAACAGCTCCTCTGCTCGAACACCGGCATCAGGAACGGGAGTCTTGGCGAGGCGATTCTCCAAGTAGTCCAGGAGATACTTCGCACCGTCGTGCTGGCTCAAACGTTTGTGGTCAATCTCCTGGGTGACAAGCCATGCTCTCCCGGAGAGTTGCGAAACCAACTCCGGTCCCAGGTAGCGCCTGCGCCTCCTTCTCGTCCGTTCCCAGGCCAGCCTCACCTTCCGCACGAAGTCCAGCCAGGTAGCAAAGTCCCCATCCCAAGTGACCCGGAAGCTGTCCTGGTTCTTATCCCCCATGGATTCCCGAAAGTCCGAGGACAAAACCAGCTCCGGCGAGGACTCCTGGGATCCCGTGATCTCCGGCTGAAGGCAACCTGCTCTGAGACCTTCGGCTCCTCCACGAACAGGTTCCACCTCCAGCTCACCTTGGCGGTCAAAGCTTCCGGCAGGATGCCTCTCAGCTTTGCCGCCCGCCTGCTCTGTGGCAGGCTCCGCTACCAATTTCGGTAGCACCTTGGGGTCAGGTTCCAAATCCCCAAAGCAACACCAACCAAGTCAAGTGAACTCGACCTTCAACAAGTGGTCCCGCAAGTAGAGCTCGCAGGTCACGCGTTTTCCATGTAGCAGCGTCGCTGTGCGACGATTCGGCTTAAGGGGTCCCTAGGTGGGCCAGGGCCAAAATGGCGATCGTAGCCTCTCCATGAAACATGCTATACACGGCTGAGGCTTACACACTGACAGAAAAAGGGGGTTCCCATGTCTCCCAGAGAAACCAGGTTTCTCCAACGACCCTAAACCCAGGAATGGACATGACCATAGTTTTCAGGAATGGCCCTAAACCCATATTTCCCCAACCGATTGTCACCAAAGAGGAGGGACCCTGGGCCCCAAATTAAATGGAAACGGCGTCGATTGCATCCAGCTCGGCTTCTCGTGAAGCGCCGCACGGATCTCTCAACCGGCCAGCACGAAAGGATGGTAAAGGTGGGTGGGGCCGTCCCAATCACGGTGGAGGGTATTATTGAGTAGTCCGCCCATGTCCACAATCCAACCATGTACTGACTGCCAGCCATGCTCCCCCTGTTTGGCTCACTGAAAAAAGGCCGACATGAAGAAGCTGTTGGCATTTGGAAGGCGTGTCCGGATGTGGAACCCTTCCAAAATGAAGCCAGTGCTTTCAACCAGGTGAGGATGAGGATAACGATGAGGATGAGGACATGGATGAGGATGATGCTGAGGATGAGGATGATGATGCGGCTGATGTTGCAGATGATGATGAGGATGAGGAGGAGGAGGAGGAGGAAGAGAAGGATAACGATGAGGAGAAAGATGAGGATGACGGTATCGATAAGGATGAGGATGACAATGAGGATGAGGATCAGAATGAGGATGATGATGATGAGGAGGATAAGGATGAGGATGACAATAAGGATGATGGTGACGATGAGCATGAGGTGTGATGATGATGATGATGATGATGATGATGATGATGATGATGATGATGATGATGATGATGATGATGATGATGATGATGATGATGATGATGATGTTGATGAGGCTGATGACGATGAAGATGACAATGACGATGAGGATGATAACGATGACAATGTTGATGAGGGTGACGACGAGGATGAGGAGGAGGATGACGATGACGATGACGATGACGACGATGCTGATGAGGATCATCATCATCATCATCATCATCATCATCATCATTGTCAATGTCATTGTTAAAATAGGAAAGTGAGCCCCTGAAAGGGCAAAAAGGATAAGGCCCTTGCCAGGATCACAACGGTCCAATCTCGAGATTCCGGATTCGGCCTCATACTGCGCGTCCTCGAGGTCGGCACGGATTCGGCCCAGGTCGGCCTTCCAACCCGCAAGGCAAGCCCTGCCCAAACAGAAAATATCATCTTGCGCTGAACCAAAAAGATGTCAATATTTGCGAATTATTTTGTAAAATTGATGTCAAGAGTCCAAGAAGAGGTAAAGTTCAAGGAAAAGCCAGAGCACTTTTACTCGATGGGAGAGGAAAAGACACCCTGTCTGACTTCGACGATAAAAGGACAGATGTAGCCTGTTTATCCCCATTTGAGTTTCTCTGAGTTTGTTCTAAGTTGCTCTTTTTGTATGTTCAGAGCTTCTCTGAGTTTGTTGTGTTTCTGTCGTGGGGGAAAGCTGCTATGTTTCTGTGCTTCCAGTTGAGTCTTCCGGCTGTGGCTTTGAGCTGTTTCTTTAGAGTTGTTCAGTGCTTCTGAAACCCCTGAGCAACTCCGGTGATAAACTTCTCAGAATTGGACGAGAGACGAGTCAACTCCCAGCTCGCTCGCAAAGAAATTGAAGCCTCAACCCTCGATCGCCGCGAGAGCTTGCGGCGTGAGAAGCGATCCTATTGCCACTCTGCTTGTATGGGGGGGCAACTGACAGCTCACGCGCATATCGGATGCAGCAGCTCTGCACGGGGCCACAAGCTGCCCTTCGGGCCTACACGGGTTCCTCATGACAACAAGCTCCAAAACAATCGAACTTCGAAAAGATGTTCAATCTAAAGATTCTTTATGTGGTGTGTACCCACGCATCTTGAACCAACGGGGTTACAAATTTTCCGAGTGGGGGGGGGGGTTAAGTTCTGAACCGACAACTTCAGGAATCCATCCCACGAATCACATGTCAGATGAACCAAACACCATCCCCAAATATGATGGCCGGCGCCTCTTGCTGCCTAAGGCTGTCTTCCGCCAGAACCAGCTCCTCACCACGCAGCCTGCGAAAACCGGAATAATTCAAGAACCAACGTTAAGCTTATAGGAAACACCCCAAATGAAGAGAGTCCAATTCGGGGTTGTCGGGCTAAATGGCGACGATTGTCTTTGATGAGTTGCATAAATAATTCGATCCAACAACGGAGTCCGGGGTGGCTGTGGAGTCGGGTGATCTTGAATGTTTGGCCTGCGGGCTGCTAGAAATGTGGTTGTGTCATGGGGTGGGATATGGTATGTTTCAGGCACGTTGATTGACCATCTGAAAGTAGGAAGGAATTCAGCAGAACTCGGACTGGAACATCCTGGCTGTAAGCTTCGTGCGGTAAGCCAAAAGAACATAAAATAACTCAAACATGTCACACGCTGCCGTGGCATCCTGCATCTCTGTCAATCCCGTAAGTTCGATCAACTGCAGGAGGAGTGCTTTCCTGACCCGAAAGGAAATGAATGATACACATACCATATAGATAGTATAGGCATTGGTCATGATCTCATTCTGGCCAGCGCCCACTTCGAATTCAATCCACTAGCGGGAAGAAAGGCGGTGGACACACATATGGTCTCGACACAAAACTCGCAACGCAAGTCAAAGCAATTGCATACATCTGCACTGCACACAGTGTCTGTCAACTCGGACTGTGGTTTTGGCTTCAACGGGCGATGGAAGATATTGAATAGGTGGATTTCGGAGAATAACTGTCAGAAGACAAAGCACTCCAGGCTCCCACTAGAGGATCGCCAGTAAATTGTGTCCCGGAGGGGACACAGCTTCCCAGAACTTTCCCATACCGCACCTCTGACTCTTGCCAATTTGTCCTGCATTCGGCCAGTTCTGACTCCGGCTAAAATTGGACATCTGGCAAGCCACATTAAACCTTCCCTCCATGACCCGGTGCCAAAGGTCCGAAAGAACTCGTACACAATTCAAAGCCGCAGGTTGCTCCCTTACCCCGGTCCTTGCGTTCCCTTCAAAGTCATCCGCAAGGTCCTATTGGAGCGTCTACTTCGGGCCATTGAAATCCTGCAAAAACCGTGAATTCTCACTTCAGGCAAGATATAAACTTTGCATGAACACACGGGCGGCGTTTTGCACCTCTGTCTTGGGAGCCTGCTCTCGCGGAACTCCCGAGTTCCCAAGAACGCCGTTGCCTTGTTCATCTTCGGGTCAAGCAAAGTTTTGGCCATGAGTAAAAGCCTGAAGTTATGGACAGGCTATGGACGAAACCCGAATACCACCAACTGCGAAGTAGATGTCCACAGCCTGGTGGCAAGGGCCGCGTCGGCGCAGCCGCGCAGCAGTGCTGCCTCCGCAGCTTTTGGATACACGGGGCTACATCGACATGGTAATCGGGCTTCAAGAACCTAGTTGTACCATTAAATGGTATTTAGCAAATGGTTCAACCATCAAATACCATTTCAAATACCATTCAAATAATTTACCATTCAAATACCATTTAGATGAAACTCCCTATTTTGGCCCGAGGGGTAATGCTCGAAACCCAGGTCAACATATTACTGCTGTCGGTTGACTTCTTGCGGCTCTCTTTCCAACAATCGTGGAACCGCACAGGAGAGTTTTGGAAGACTACAATCATCTTCAATCGTTGTCCTTTCTACCTGGAAAGACAGTAAGTACAATCGGGGTTAATCCAACCACCCATGCACCTCTGAACAGCCTGGATGAATTGTAGTAAGTTACATACCAAACATGCAATAACCTAGGAATGAAAGGAACCTGCATCACGAGGTTGCAACCTGCCCCTGTCAGGTTGCCATTTCCCTCGCCGGTGTTCCTAAAATAGGAATTGGACCCTTTCAAGCGCTCGGTCTCCTCTCTCGCTTTGAACATCCAGAGTGCCCAATTTGAGGACACCGGATGGGAGTGTCATGAAAGGCCAAGGAAAGCTCGATGCACAAATCGTACCGCAACAGAGAATGTGCCAGCCCGGGCTTGCGAAAAACACACACTTTGGGTCAGAAGAGAAGTAGAGCCCATCCCGCGTCCTTGGCCTTGACATCCTGAGACTTCAGAAATAGGGGGCTGTTCTCGATGGCTTGGATCGGAAGGATTCAAGATCGCAGAAGAAAGGGCAACGGAAAGAGAACTTCCGTATGCGCATGGATGTATGTGTCCCTTTTCAGCTAGGATTAACCAAAAACGAAAAGGATAACCACCCTGTTTGGGCTCCAATTCCTCTGTTTTGACACATATGACTTACATACCCACCATATGCTGTTGACAATGTTCATTGATTCCTGGTCTCATCCATGGCACGCCAATATGGTCTTTTCCTGCCGCACAAGACATCCGTTTCTACTGGACCCTTTTGTACAGCTGGATATGCTCTGCCGAAATACAGTACCTGGGCATGGGCTCGACATTCAAACATGCTCATCCAAAGAAGAAAAAAAAACATACCACGTCTGGGCTTGTTTCAAAGGGAAACAAAGGGACAACCCCCATTTGGGGGGTTCCATATTTTGACAGTTCACACATACCCATCTCTTCTTGCTCGCAAAAACCGTGAGTCACGCATTGGAGCTCCAACTTTGTACACTTGGAGTCGCTCAGTAGCACCTCAGCCCGTCTCCCAAGGTGGGAAGAGGGGGTCTCCACTTGCAATAGAAACTTTCCCCTTGAAATGGAGAATTGATTGGTCGCTTGAACTCATTTGGAAGGCGCCGTAAGCAATTCCAATAGCTGCCGCCCTCTTCACAAGCAAAGCAGCTTCCACTCGCACTCCCATTCGATTCAACGTCTGCGATTCCCCAGCCAAGGCGCAGCCAAGAGCGGCATTCTGGAGCCTGGCACAAGAGTTTTGCAAGGAATCGCAAACGAGATGGGCTTCAATACAAACAATCCTAGCACTAGTTCGGGCAGCTCTTGGCAAAGTTTCACATGATCCTAGCACTGATTCTGGACCCATGTTATGGCAATATGCAGTGGACGGAATATTTGCTGGCGGTGGAACACATGCTGGTTGATCATCGAGTGCTTTCCCATAAGATATCGCCCCATTCCACCGAAGACGTGTCCAAACCTTAATCCCACAAAAATGGGCATGTGTCAAATCCAGTACACCCAACGCTTGGTGGTACTTCATGTTGGGCGGTGACGGGAGTATGAATGGAGCCTTCATGGGTGAAGTTGCAGCCCTAGTCTTGAGCTCGCCTCAATTTGTTGTAAGTGTTCAGCCTGGTTTTTCCGGTGGCTCGCAAGCGGCTCACGAAAGCTGTGGACAACTTCAACCAGACAAGAATCGCGCGCTGTTTAACAGCAGGCGCTCTTGTGGCTGGCAAAGATTTGCTGAGACCTCAGCTTGGCTGAGTCGGTGGGTGCAAAAACAGGTGTCAGATGATTAAATCTGATATCCGTGATAAGAAAGCATAGGGCGCTCGGACCTCCGAGGCCGCACATGTCTGTCACTCGAAATGGGAGACCCGGCGCGGGACATCAGGAACTTCATGTACCTCAGCATAAAGAGCAAAGGGCAATGGGGAAGTTTCCTTGGATGTGGGTTGCCTCCCCTTTCGGCAGAAAAGCCTAACTCTCCGTTGTTCGCCTGCCGCCAAGCGCACTCAAGAGCGGCGGAATACAAGCGGGACACTGTCTACCAAGCCAGGTATCCTTCCGCCTGCCAGTATGGAAATTGAAATTCTCAACAGGGTTCTTGCAGGTGTTGCTCATTCATCTTCCTAGCTTTTGCAAGCCCCTTTCCCAATAACTTGCCCGATGGCCGTCGCAGTGGCTAATCCGAAATTAAACTACCGTCAACCTGGTACCTGTTGAAGACACCTTGCTCCTTGCGCACGGCTTGAAAAAACTGCTTGTTGGCCACCATCTCTCCGCCCCAAAAAATGAAAGTCGTGTTGACATCGAAGCTACTCTTGCACCACGTTTCCGACCCAATCCAGCATGAAGCTCCTGATCTTTTCGTCAACCTCCTCAAAGCCTATGGTGGACCTAATTCGCTCTTTGACGGTCTCCTCCGGGGTTGGGAAGGATTAGCGCTCGTTACACGTGCCCAAGGCGCCTAGTTGCGCTGGCTTGCATGGCCATATGAAACTTTTACTCTGGGTAGCGGTTGTGGTTTGAGCCTAACTGCACACACGTTCCTTACACGGCCGAAAGTTCTGCACGCGCGGCGCGAGGTGCGTCAACAAGCTTCTGCGCGGTCGTTAAATTCGGTGACACAAATCTAATATTCCGTGCGCGGCCTACTCCCGCATCTTTCTTGCGTGCGTTTTCCAGCTCGTCTGCCACACGCTGACGATCTGCGACCTCATTCTGGCGCTTCTGCTGCAGCCATGGACACCATGGTGGCGCCGTAGACCAAGAAGCTGTCATAGCAATCTTTCTCCAGATGTCACTGGGCGTCGTTGACTTCGACGCCGCTGCGCTAATGTGGTGCCACGCATTGATCCTGTGAGGAAGCATCGTGGCCAAGCCGGTTGAGCCCCGAACCTTGCGCGCTTCCCGTCCTGGCTGCGGAGCAGATGAAATCCAGTTCGGGTCAATCGTCTTGGTGTTCTCGTTCTCTGGCTTTCCTGGTAAGCCCCCAGCCTTACCCGTAGTCTTCGAGGAAGGCTGGCCACGATCAGAGACCAACGTGAGTTCACGTGTCCGAGCGGCTGGGGTTGTGAGGCATCGTGGGCCGGTGGCGCGGTGAGCAAGTAACTTGCGCGGCACTTCAAGAAACACCTGAGTCCTGCAACTTCTCGCGCTTTGTAGAAAATGCATGGCCCAGCCCAGCGGCTGACGTCATTTCGTCCAGGCTGGCTCCACATCTCTGGCATCCTAAGCGCCATGCTGTCCAGCTATTTGACATGCGCAGGTGGGCGCCACCAGTGAATCCTAGTTCTTGGAGGTGTGGTAGATCTGCTGATCGCCGCAGCATTTCCTTCGAGATGGTGATTGGCGAATCCAACCGAAGCACTGGGGCCAGCTAGCAGGTCGCACGACCTTGTTGGTAAAACACTGGCCACGCCATCACAGCAGTCTGTCACGCTTGCAGACCAGGAAGTTGGACTTTCCCTGATGAGCTATGTCGTAGACCTGCGTTTCTTTTTTGTCGGCGGTATCCTGGTTGCTTTTTGCCGCAGTCCTGCAAGCAGCCACCAGTGGCCCAATGCAAGAGCTTCAGCTTGTCGATGCACTAATTAGCGTAGCGGACAGTCTGCTAGACGGAGGCGCGCACTGCCGGCTGTCCTGGACGAATCTCCTGCTCCAGCTCATCCTTGTCGGCGCGCTCCCTAGGAGAGGGTTTAAGGATTACGCTACTGCCATCTCCTCCTTCTGGGTGTCCGAGATGCCCATCTGGCTCCTTAGCAGGCCGGGTCGCCAAGGCGAGGTGGCCAACAGCACGCCGAATGGGACGCTCCGCTACCAACCTTTTACTTGTGTCCAAGGCGCCTAGTCGCGCTGGTTTGCATGGCCATGTGAAACTCACTACAGTAAATTCCTTTAAATGCGTGTAAACAACCGACCCTAGTGGCCTTTGCAGGGAAACCAAAAAGGATGTTGTTTACACCGTGCTGTGTTTTTTTGTTTTTTGTTTAACATGTTGAAACAAGGTTGGCCCGCTGGTCTCCTCGTCCTGTGGAAGGAAAGCAGTTGCGTGGACCGATTCAAAGGCACACAAAGACTGAGTGACCTGCAAAATTCCATCTTCGCCTTCCCGAATCTGGCCAATCAAGGAATTGTTCTGCTCTCTGGGTAAAACAATTGTGACAGGCACGTTGCCCAACTTTATCGCTGTAAATTGCTCAAAAATTGTCCAAATCCTGGTGAGGTATACAGGGCAGCGCCATCCATCCAAGATTGCCACCATATTGCCAATGCGCTTCAAGGTGCTCTCAAATACCTCCTCCAACTGCACACTTCCGACACCATTGCAATCGTACAGAATGCGATACTGATTGTTCACGAAGAAGCACATGTAAAGAAAAATGTCCTCCGGCAGCAAACCTGTATCCTCCAGCCAAGAGCTCAGTGCATCCTGCACGGTCCCCACAGTGTATTTCCACGTCCAGGACAAGTAGTGTGTGCTCTGCCGCCGGACATGCCTGGGCAGTGCGTCCACCAGCGCGCACCCGAGTCGCGCATCGCGTGGGCACGGAATGTTCTTTCCAATGGGATCGTCTCCGAAGAAAAACGCATCTTTGAGGACGTAGAAGTTGGGGTCATCCGAGTTGCTGCGTGTCTTTGCTAAATTTGAGAATGCATCAGAGAGAAGGTAGGCGACCCCCACTCCTGCTTCTTGACTTTGGCACTTCAAGGTGCGGCGCGTAAGCTCCTGCAAACATGGCAAACTGCACATGACTACTTATCACTTTGAAGCGGGGTCCCCTGGTACCACAGAAAGTGAGACCACGCACGCATGTTGGGTCCATCTATTTTGATGATGCCTCTTGGGGTTTGGCTGAGGAACGGGGATATCGAGTTGCTCTCGCATGTTTCTCCAGCTCCTCCAAATCCGTTTCAGTCCACCCAACCTTTTCCAGCGCAAGCCTGGAGTCATGCTCCAAGCGCTGGTCTGCCTTCCAACAGGCATCCGACAACCTGCGGATCAGCTCCTTCTCCTGAACTGGACCAGACGCGGGACAACACGGGTGATCCGATCCCTTAACGTAGCATCCGATTTCGGATCCCATTCCTTAGAAAGAGTCCCACTTGCACGGGAAACCAAACAAGATGGAAACAGCTTGAACCATGATAGTTGAAACATGTCCCAATGCTTCCAGGCAAGCCACTACAATGATATAACCCTTCACTACGAGATTCTACATCATGTGTGGGCGGTGGATAATTTAGGTGAGGATTCATGTCCACGGACGTGGTTCCCTATTGAAATCCATAGCCAGTTGGCTATGCCCTGCCTTCAGGAGTGCAATCCGTTGTTTCTGCTTGCTAAAGGCATTCGCCGCCCTGAACCACCGGATGGCCACCGAAATCATCAGCGACAGAGTCAGCACAACCCCGAGGCTAGCCAGCACGACCTGACGCCGGTTTCTTTTTGGAGCTACTCACTTTTTGGTGATACAGGGAAACCAAAGTGGAAAGCCCCTAAGCATATTTAGGGGTTCCAAACTTAGAATGGCCGACCCGCCTGAACTTTGGCTCCACTGAAGGCCCACAGCACCAGCACGGCCAGAGCACCCACCAGCGCCAAAATCCAACTCACTACGATGGGAACCCTCAGGGTGGTCAGGTGCCATAACTCCCACCACAAAGGAAACCGAGCATACCCGGTGATTTGGCAAGCCTCCCCGAAGATGCACATATCAGGGGTCTCATCTGCACAAAGCTGGATTTGGGAATCACCGCTGATCTTGAAGCGTAACGGCTTGGAAGGCTTGTCCAGAACGTCATACCCAGACTTGTACACTCGAATCGTGGGAAGTTGATCTGGCGATATTCGTTGAGAAGTCATGTGCATGCTGTGCTTGTTGCATAAGTGAAGAACTAAGCCACCCTGCTCGTGCGTTGCTTGAAGCAGAAAATAGGGAGATTTGATCCATGCGCCAGGAGGAATCGTTGCAAGAGCAACAAAAATGCAAAAGCTCCATGCGTAGAGCAGGTAATAGCCGTTGAGGTGACACTCTAATCGGTTATCAGTAGACTCCTCATACTCCTCACATGCCTCACAAAAGGAATTCCGTAGCGCAGTGCCCTGTGGGCACCATTGGCATGAACCCGCCAGCTCGTTGAACACTTGCCCGGGCGCGCACCGGAACTGTACCCGGGACAGATGGATGTCTACAGTTACAATACCCCACAAATACTGATCCCCCGAGGGAGTCTTCAGCACTCTGTTCTCCGGCAGGCCAAATGGCTTTGCGACCTCTTCTGGCACCTGCACAATCGGCACCGGAGTCTTGCGAGTGAATGGCACCGAGTACGTCACCATCTCAATGTTGCCAGCCCCCTCATCGAAGTAAGGAGACCCCCACATACCCAACAAGTAGTCTACCTCACCGGTCAAGAAATGTGTTCGCGGCGCATGGTACCACTCCTCACAAGACCGTTCAATTGATGGACCAAAATGGAAAAGCCCAAAGCTCGGCCGATCGAGTGCGTTTTGAGGGTGCTCCTTTTTTGGGCTAGGTTTTAGGTTGAAGCCAAACAGAAAACCATCCATTTTCATCGGGGCTCCTAGTTTGACACGTATCCATGTGGGTGTCTTTTTTTTTGAGCGTACCCTTCTGTGGTGGTGTCAAAGCGAAACCAACGGAAAAACCACCCTTTTGGGGGGCCGCTAAAAAAGGCGCACCCATTTGCTTTCACGTGAGAGTCGGTGCTGGGATCAAAATAATTATAGGCGTCCGCGAGGTCCATCAGAATACCGCCGCGAGCCATGTATGGGCAGTAAAGCACTCGCCGCTCTCCTGGAACCAAAATCTTGTTTGCCAAACCCTGATTTAATCATCTTGTTTCACCACTGTTCAATTAAACAAGTACAAATTCTGCTGATTTCTCTTAGAGGACCAGGAATTGGTTGTTGCAAAGATTGCCCAACCCTGCCTGGCCATATCTCTCGCCGAGGTAGAGACCAGGGCTCCGTCATGTTGGCCCAGAAGGAGCCGTTCTCGCGACTCAGCACCCCAAGTTCCAGTCCGGGCTGCCGTGCGCTAACGCTTCCCGAGCTGGCATTCCAAGGGTAGGAGTCGGGCCTGAGTATGACCCTTGCAACCATTTTGTTGCGAAGGGCGCCCAATGGCTGTCGGTTGTTTCACTTGGTCTTAAAGTGGGAAGCAACAAAAACTCAAAGCTCCGAAAGAGAAAAGCGGCTCAAAGGCGATGGCGGACCCGAAGATGGCCTCAGGTCCAAGATCCAAGGACGGCCAGTTCACGCGGAGAACCCCCCACGTTTGCCTTCCCGTCTGACGTGGAACAGAGGAAACCGGCAAATTCAAGTCAACATTTGTACAAGGACATGCGAGCCTCATACTGGAGCAAGTTGGACTGAAGCAGGCCCGCCAGCTCCAGAGGCGTCAGCTTCTCCCCCATGAGGCTGAGGAAAGACGCCACATCCCTGGCGACCTGCGCCTCATCGTGTGAAAATCCGAAGCATTTGTGGGGGAGGGAGGGCGTCAAAATATGGGGACCTCAAAAATGGCAGGTGGCCTTTTGGTTCCCCCATAAAACCAAGGCGAAAAAGGGTGCCCTCAAAAAAAACACAGAAACACACACACACACACACAACAAAAAAACACGCACCCACACAGAAACACACACACACACCTACCTACCCACCCGCCCGCCCACCCGCCCGCCCGCCCGCCCGCCCGCGCACGCACGCACGCACGCACGCACGATATGGGTCATGATCGTGGTGCCCAGGAACCCTTGCCATGGCTGTTCAAATTCTTCATGAGTGGGTCCATTGCATGCTCATGGCAATTCAAAGCGAGCCCTTCCAAATGGGTGGTTTACCAGCCACCAACAGCAGGTTCACCAGTTTGAGACTCGCCAATTCCCACGTGGGATAGCTCGACTTAAATACGATTGGGATACATGATTTCAAAGTCACGCGGGAGAATCAACAAGCAAGCTCGTACCCCCATAACTGTCCATCAGCCTCAAATGGGGATGTGTCCAAACATGGGGACCACAAGAACTGTAGTTGTCCTCTTGGTTTCCCTTTAAACCAAATTAAGAAGGGTACCGTCAAAGAGCAGACGCTCAAATACACTGACACAGCTGCAACGAACCACTGTATCTAATGGCCGATTGCAGTCAGCGTCCCTTCAAGATTCCATTGCGGTCATGTATCTGGGCTAGGCTGGAAAAGGGGTTGGACTCAACAAAAGTTGCCATTGCCACGATGATTCCACCCCCCCGCCCCAAGCGTCCAAGGGGTGAAAACCCGAAACCCGCCTCCGCGTTGAAAAAGGACATGTCCGGCGTGGCGTCGATGTCCAGGTACTCTACCGCCAGCTCGCGCCCGCCTTCGGACGCCGCGAGCCTCAGATCGACATTCGACTCGACGTGTCTGCGTTTTGATTCGACTTGACGCTTCAAATGAACCAAGGCTTCCTACTGTTCTGAAAACCAGGGTTCACGTCTCAGGTGCAATATCAAGGTCCGGTACCTGATTCATTCTCTAATTGCAGGCACACAGGTATTTCTGGCTGGCCAACAGAAATATCCAATTTGCTGTGCGCGTTGGGCTGCCAAAACGTCCCTTATTTGCTCCTCAAATGCTGGCCAGTTTAGGAGAGTGTACTGGATCATGCCTAGTCTGACGCTTTGCCAGCGAGAACTATCATGAGCAACATCAAAACATGGGTTGCACCCCAGTATTAACCGGATTCGAGGTGAAACGAGGAGTAGATTGCACCTGCCTAGACACCAAATAGCTGGAATTGCATTTGAGTGTGAAAGCAGCTTGAGAACCGCAAGTTGTTTGTTACAGAAAAGCAAAGAAATAACTTTGAGCGCCCTGCGCAACAGCACCCAGCGGCCAGCGCGACTCAAAATCAAACTCTCCACCAGCACACGCCAACGTCACTGCAACCATAGCAGCACCCTGCTAACATTCTATCATAGTTTCCAAACCAGCCCCCCTTTGAACCACCCCCCAAAATAAATAAGGGCTGATTAGGGCTTATTAGGGGCTATTTTTTGCAGCAACTTCCTGAAGCCATCGGCGCTCGGTAGCCAACCCGCCTGCAGATTGGATTTCATGTTGCTTCAGTTTGGCTTTCAAGAAACAAATTCCCTAGGCGCGCTTTCAGTGTTCCCTCGAATTGGGCTTTACGTTTGCCTTACTCTTGCCTTATTTCGTGCTATATGTTTGCCGCTTTAGGCATGTGCGGCCTTAATTTGGCCTTAATTTGACCTTAATCTGGCCTTAATTTGGCCTTAATTGTGCTTAAGCCAAAATCCCATAGGCATTTGCGCTAGTTTGGCCTTAATTTGGTCTTAATTTGGCCTTGATCTGGCCTTAATTTGGCCTTTATTTTGCCTTAATTTTGCTTTACAGTAGCTTGGCGTGATTCCCGACCCAATACACCGTAGGCACGCACCCGTAAATCAGGACATCGCGTTTTCATTTAGCACGTTTGAAAGGCTGGCGCGTTTGAGCTCAGTCTTGCCTTAAGTCTGCTTTACAATTTGCATTGTTGGCTTGAATTGGCTTGAGTCATTGGTGCACAAACAAAAACATTAATTAGGCCTTAATTTGTCCACAAGGGTGAATTTGCAAAAATTGACTTGGTCTTAAGTTGGCCTTAATTCCTCCTTAATTTTGAGGCCAAATTAAGGCCTTAATAAGGGCTTAATAAGTCCCTACTAAGTCCTTCATAAGGCCTTCCTTTTATGTGTCCTCTTAATTTGGCCTTACTTTGGAAGGGGGGGGGTTCAGGGGGGGGTGGTTTTGCAATCTATGATTCTAGGTCGCACCCCAGCACTTTCCAAGAGTGACAAAAACATGCACCCTCCTCTCTATGCTTGAAGTTAGAATCTATTATACAGTTTTCAGCTGTTTGAGAAAATAGTGTGGTTCGGCACGACCAAAAAGAACGTAGCAGAATTGTCTAGGTCCCAAACTGAATACCAATGTCTTCTGGCACCAACCAAATGGGGCAACTGAACGCATGTCGCTACAAAATGCGCGATGTTCTTCTTCTCAGCACGGAACTAAACAAAACCACACACGGACAGAAACAAAACTGAAGCAGCTAGAGGCAACGAAAGCACATTTTGTAAATGCACCCACCATACTTTGTCGGCACTAACCTGACAAAACATTAACCAACACACAAGTCCTAGCGTGATTGCAGTATCCTCCTGCAGTGTCCCTTTCAGCAATAATCCAAAAAGCCGGTCAACACGAAAGCCAAAAGCTTACTTATGAAAACACTTAGGAAGCAACTTGCAAAGGGTAGTGCTTCCAGAAACCACTACAGTAACCAGTTATGCTTCCCCCTACCTATAGTGGCTTGCTGGAAGGAAGCACTGGGTCAGCTTTGACACCTCGATTTTCGACCATACCGCCGGAGAGCCCTGAGAGCCCTGTGGCCAGGGCGAAAAACTGGAGGTTCCGAGCCATGCGAACCATGGCGAGCTCCGAAATGGTCGTGTGTCACCTTTGGACCCTCGTGGAGAGAAAACGTGCACGGCTGGAATGCCTTGGGGTTGGCTGATGTTCGTTCTGATGTTCTTTCCTACATGCCAATGATTCAAAGCTACAGCAAGGGCAATTCTGACTCCTCATGGTCGCTGATCGTGTCTCTCTACTGGCCACTATTGGGTTGCAATGGCTCCTCTTGTTGCAGCTCCAAAATGGAAAATTAGAAATGTAGAAATCTTGGATCGAGCCCAAGGCCGGCGAATATGCCGCCTGCGTGTGGCTTCCGTCACACGGAATCCCAGCCAGCCTCCCGCCACCCGGCACCCTCCCAACAAATTGGCAAACTAAATGCACCTGCAATCAGCAGTCTTTGCTCTTGCCTTGACAAAGTACGAACACCGTGGCACTTTGATATGCGTTGCAATGTCAGCGTCACACCCTACCGTTGTGTTGATTGATCAAGTTGATGGAGACTGCCCTGCAGCAAAACGACAAGCCGTTTGCCACACATCCTTGCCAACGTGACAACTGTGGCAAAAGCAACATGCAAGTCAGCCATCACAAGCCATGGCTGCTGCGAAACAAATTGATACCTCCAACTTGAAGAGTCAACACCATGCGGTATGCAAGAAATTCGAATTGTGAAGCGTACATCATTGCAACCCGTTCCGCCTGGTGATTCCCAATCTGCCTCCCCGATCTCAGTGTGTCCGCATGCAAGAACAGCGCATCTGCAAACCAAATGTCCCACACAACCAAAAGGCGCACTAATTTGCCTGTGTCCATTTCGTTTTGGGCTGTTACAGCACTTAAACCCCATCAAGGCTTCCCCCCTGAGACGCTCGGGTAAAACTGAAACCCACACTGGGGCTTCCAGTTCCACTTTGGGGCTTTGTGGGCCAGGCTGGCTCTGCTTTGAGGGGGATGCATGTCGAAGTAGTGAGCTGATTCATCGTCTGTCAGATTTGCTTGGATTGATGCTTGCGCGGCTGGCTGCTTGGCCGGGCGTCTCGTTGCCAACACCTCTTGGCGCCCATCAGGATCATCATCTGAATCATTGGGCTGGCAAGTTGGCCCAAGGTCAACTCCTGGCCCCACCAAAAAAACACCCTTGCAGTAGAGGTAACGCCCAGAGTTGACTGGTGTTGATGACCCACGGAAGTCAAAGCAATGGGTGTTTCTCAACATAGGGGGTCCCTTCAAATACCAACCAAAATGAGGTCCCATCCCTATTCCAAGCAGCCCCTAGCCTCGGGCTCTCTCTTCACCTGGGAGGCCAAGCGAGGTCAAATATGCAGTCCCCACAAAATGTCGGGCCCATTTAAAGTTGAAGATAAAGATCTACTGAAAGGGGCCCGTCAATTTGTGGGCCCACCATGTGTCCAAACACAAGGTATGATTCTTGATCATGGGTGCAGCTCTGCCTGTGAATGTGAATATGTGTAATATAATGATGTATAGGTAAAAGTGTAAAATCGTGTCTGTGTGAATGTGTGCGAATGTGTGTGTGTGTGTGTGTCCGTGTGTCTGTGTGTGTGTGTCTTGTGTGCCTGTGGGTCTGCATGTCTGCGTGTCTGTGTCTCTGTGTCTCTGTGTCTGTGTGTGTGTGTGTCCTTTTGTGTTTGTGTGTGCGTTTGTGGGTGGTCTGTGCTTGTTTATGTGTGTGTGTGTGTTTGTGTGTGTGTGTGTGTGCGTGTGTAGTTTGTTTGCGCACTTGTTTTGAGGGTTTGTTTGTGTGTTTGTTTGAGTGTTTGTCTGCGTGTTTGTGTTTAAGAATGTCAGAGTGGATGCATGAGTGGCTGTGCATGAATGCGAGAGTGAGGGTGTGGGCAAGTGTGCAAGTGTGCTTGTGTGCTTGTGTGCTTGTGTGCTTGTGTGCTTGTGTGCTTGTGTGCTTGTGTGCTTGTGTGCTTGTGTGCTTGTGTGCTTGTGTGCTTGTGTGCTTGTGTGCTTGTGTGCTTGTGTGCTTGTGTGCTTGTGTGCTTGTGTGCTTGTGTGCTTGTGTGCTTGTGTGCTTGTGTTGCTTGTGAGCTTGTGCGCTTGTGCGCTTGTGCGCTTGTGCGCTTGTGCGCTTGTGCGCTTGTGCGCTTGTGCGCTTGTGCGCTTGTGCGCTTGTGCGCTTGTGCGCTTGTGCGCTTGTGCGCTTGTGCGCTTGTGCG